AWCYATGYCTAAAGAATGTYAKACTAATACCGGGTGACCAAAAAGTTGAAACAATTGTTTTGCCCAGATATCGCCGTAAGTGGTTTATTCTACAAGTTGATCAAAATCTGATGATAGAATTGGATTTCTTATGCTCAAAAACATCTGCATACCAAATTCCGTGAAAATATGCAGCTCCGTTCAAAGTAGAATAACGAAAAACTGAAATTAAAATGTAACTTTGACGGCAACCATGTATGTCGGCAACCGTCAACTTTTGGAGCAAATATGTATACAGGGTGCCCCAAAAGTAGGGGCACAAAACAAAATGTCGGATTCCTGGGGTGATAATATGATGAATTAACACAACTTACCTTAGGTTGTGTTAAATCATCATATTATCACCCCAGGAATCCGACATTTTGTTTTGTGCCCTTACTTTTGGGACACCCTGTACATTAAAAGAGGGAAGCGGGTGTGTACACACTGAAGAAGCAAACTGCATTGAAAATCCATAACAATACTAACCATACAAAAATACTATGGCCAGAACTTCTAAAATTGCAAAAACGAAAATGATGAAAGTCCCTCCAAAGTGATCGACAAGATCCAGCATGTATTGTCCTCCCTAAAATAGTAGATAATATATAAAATATGGTTAATTAATAAGCAGAAGAGCAGGTACATATGACGAAGAGATAATAAGTAATAATTATTAACAAGTTGCTTGTTATGTTGAACTATTATGCTTACCGGTGTGACGTACATTAAACCAATCAGAAACATTCCAGAAGCAGTTGCAACTGAAATCACCCAAGACGGAATTGACGGAAATGCGTCTTTTATGACGGTATTGAGACAGTTTTGTAAGGCGACTAAACTTCCTACTCCCAATACAAACAACATGAAGAAGAACAGAATGGCAAAGAGCTAGAAATGGAAATTATTTGAAACATTCCTTGAATACGAATTATACGAAATTAATATGACCTTAATATTGCTTGAACGTTTATTTTAATTGATGATTGAAAAGTACTAACCCATAGTGCTCATTCTATGATGCCAGTAATAGGACTCTTTACTCACCCATGGTACATTGTTGAATCTAGCAATTGCTTCTGGATATGAAATAAATGCCAAACCAGTGCCACCACCAGAAATAACGTCGGCCATGTCGGTACCCAAATTGTAAGCTAAGTTTCCAAGAATGCCAAATATTGTCGTTCCAGATAGCAGAGAGGTAAATGTGTCTAGGGTTGTGACAATGAGGGCATCCCTGAAATAATCGGTTGTTTGGAATGCTACCTAATGCTACCATTAAAGCTTTCTCAATATAATATGCAAAAATTAAAAACATGTCTGTTGCTCATGAAAAGTTACTGATTTCCTTTTACATCCATCTTAGATGTCCTTTAAATAGTGTACATTTTTGCGCAGAGAAACATTTTTAACAGATATTGTTCCTAGAAACGCAATGTCAAAACAGTATTTAAACCCGCTGGTAGAAGATCGGCTAAGGGTTACATAAGAGTTACATGCAGTTTGTGCTAGTGTATACAGACAGGCTTGTTCATTAGTACGTCAAATAATATTTCCTAAGAAAGTATTTGATATTCAACAATCCCAAGTGGCTTTTTGGCTAACGTGCCATCAGCCGTGTGTGACCGCGTATGTGCTTAACATTGACTGCATGACTGCTTTACCTGTTGATGTTATGTTTGAACGGATTATATGATGAGTACATTATGATCGATCCAAATCCAACATTCAGAGAAAAGAAGCATTGCGTTACTGCAGCATACCAAACCTGAAATTGTTCATTAAGTTATCACAGTTAAAATTTCCCTCTTTTCGTTGTTGAAGTGAAGTCTCTTATCTATGTGACTTACCGATGCTTCTTTCAATTTATCGAAATCCGTATCGATAAAATAGAACATTCCGTTTCCTGCCCCCTCAAGCGTAGCCGCTCGGATCAGAAGCGTAATCATGATAACATAAGGGAACAGTGCCAAAAAGTAAGAGGCTTTTCCAGAACTTTTCACTCCCCGAACTGACACCAGAAAAGTGACCACCCAAGACGCCAATAAACAGAGTGTTAGTCTCCAGTCTGGCGATCCAATACCGTTGCTAATGTCATCAGTTTGCCTAAGCACTTCAATCCTATCAAACCACATATGTTTATGATTACGGAAATATATTATTTTCACTGTACACACCTAAACCAAAGTTCCGAAGAAGTAATTGAGGTCCGGTTCGGTTCAATTGTATAGTCACCCGTAGAGGGTACGCAGTATCCTGCAATCTCAGTCAGGTATTCGTTCCACGAATCTTTGCACTGTGTCCACGGCAATTCGGAGAATGTGAAGGAATGGGCCAAATAAAATAAAGTTATTGCCATCAAACAACAGTAGTATGTGGCAACACATACGGATCCAATTAGTTGTCCAAATCCAATACCTATGAAAAGTATTTATTATTTATTCGCACTTAATCATAAAACACATACTTTACTAGCATATTATTTGATTCAATAATCTCCTTTTTATTAAAAATGTTATGTTTTTTAAGCCTAGTTTTCTCTCTGTGTGAACGTTTCCCAATCTGCGTGAACGTTTTCCTATACGATATGGACTTCTTAAATCATATACAATGTGCGAAATTGGAAGTTTCAAATTTAAAATAATACCATTTTCTAAAAAGTGTGAATGTTGGCCTGTAACTGCGCTCGACAGCAAAGTCAAGCTTTGCGATGAAAAATCGCGTATATGTCAGGATATTACTATTCTAATGAATGAAACAACTCGAAGCTTACTTTTTAAAACGGGAGAGAGCTTTTCGTACATCTTAACATTTCCTCTGCTGGAGAACTGACCCAGCGCCATTTCCATGTAGTATAATGGTCTTCCGATAACAGTTAAAACAATGATGTAGGGAATTAAAAATGCTCCTCCACCGTTCTCTTTAGCTGTGAATGGAAATCGCCATATATTGCCAAGTCCGACTGACATGGCAATACACGACATCAGGAATTCTACACTGTTTCCCCATTGGGCCCGATTGCCTGCATCATCATCCAAGTCCGTTTCTTCAGCTTTCTGCAAAACCCATTAACTTCTATTAGTGGAGGCTATATTAATGAGCAGTAAATCAGTTCAGTTCCACCAAATTTATGTAACTGCACATGTTTAGATTAGAATTTGTATGGAAATTGACGGCACAAATCTCAAGTTTTTTTAATTGCGACAAACGTTTTTTCAGTTACCAGACACTTCTACTCTTTCTACAACTTTCTACAGGTGTAATAAATCCAGAGCTATGGATCAATATTGCTCAAAATGGAAAGGTCGACTTCCTTTAACAAACTTAAAAAGAGCACTTTTCAGTTAACATACAGGGTGGTTTTTCAGTGCGAGAGAGTGTGTTGTTGAGGCACAAAGTGTGCACATTTTAAAAATATCTTATATGATACAGAGTGTTCTTTTCTTACTTGCGACGTTGGCAGATTATCGACATTTTCGTAAAATGCTGCTTAAAAACATGGTATTTAAAAATTCATTGTAGAAGCAAAAAAAGCAATTAAAGATACAAAAAAAATACGTTTTTCCAATCAGCACAGATCCGTTAAGAATTCCATTGAACCAAAATATCAACACATTGTACAGGGTGTTGAAAAAGTTTTAGACTGAAGTCCACATTGTTAACATCCTGTACAATATATTGATATTTTGGTTCAATAGAATTCTTATCAGACCTGTGGTGATTGGAAAGACGTATTTTTTGTATCTCTAACTGCTTTTTTTTGCTTCTACAATGAATTTTTAGATGCCATGTTTTTAAGCAAAATTTTACTAAAATGACGATAATCTGTCAACGTCGCAAGTAAGAAAATAGAAATTTACTGTGCATATGCAGCGTTTTAAGTTGCATTCCATGAGCTAATGAAAAATGGGTAGTTCTATTAAAAAAATACACTTTGATTTTGCCTCGATTTTCTGAGACACTCTGTATCATATAAGATATTTTTAAAATGTGCGCACTTTGTGCGTCAACAACTTTTATATGAAACTATTTTTCGAAAGTTCAACACCATCTGAAACAATGGACTCTATCGCACTAAAAAACCACCCTGTATGTGTATTGTGGTGTAAATATATGCTTTAAGATGCCGAAAATATACTTTCGAAAGCAAAATAAGCCGAAGTGTAATTTAACCCTTGAATATTGAATATGCCCCCCCTTACAAACATGTATTAATTATAAACTGTAATTGAAACGAAATTACAGAGAGAACTACTACAGTCGAAAACTATATAATTTATTAAAAACTACATTATTGTAATATGTGAATTTGAATTCCTTAGCAGATTCTTTGAAGTCCCGATTTTAATATACTTTATAAATATTTGGTTGCAATTTGAAAAGCAACGGTAGTTTAGATTTTTGCCACATAGTTACTATTTTCATCTGTTTCGAATAAATTTGGGCTCTATCAATATACATTATACATTCGATTAGGATGGAAAACTCGATTTATTTAATTGAGGCGATCAAAGCATTTTCAATTTTACTGGGAACTCATTCAGCCATTCATTTACCAAATTATGAAATCGTCCATTTTAAATCGACGGTAAAAACGGAAAAACCGTTAGAGGTTTATAGAAGTTGACCAAAAACACATATAAAGTATGATAGGTACTGAGGAATCCGTGTGTATAGTACAGTTATTAGGTATATATTACAGCTAATTATAATAAATAACAAATTAAATGCTCAAATTATTGACTTAAAAACGGCATACTATTTAACATTCAGAATTTGTGGGTATATTAAGAACAGCAATTACTCATCCGATATATTATAAAATCTATGCGGTTCAGAACTTCCCATCAATTATTGTGTGTTTTTCTAAACCGTGATTAGACCATTAATATCAGGCAATTTTCAACGATAACATTAATGTCTGAAAGCTGCTTAGTGATTTTCAACTAATTCAATCGAGATGTTCATGCGATTAATTTACTAAACCTTTTACACGCTTTATTGAAAATAATTTTTGACATAAATGAAATCGAACTAACATACGATTAAAAGATAATAACTAATTCTTAAAACATTTTCTGCATCTATATAAATTTTCCGTTTTACGAGCTTCACAATTATAATCTCGCAAAACTATAACGAAAAAAATATAAAAATATAAAATAAAGTTTACATTTTGAGAAATCTACTTCTTTCTTTCTAATATGGATACTTATTGGTAGGCTATTGTCTGTTCATTGCCAAGACGTCCTCCCGGACGATGAGGTCTAGCATTCTCTCCAGCGCTTTGGTGGCCTTTCCTCTGGTCTCCTTCCCACTAGATTGTTAATTTTTGCGCTTTTGGCGAGTCTGTTCTCCTCCATTCTTTCTACATGTTTGTTCCAGAATCTTATTTTCCGCCTCAGCCATCTTCCTATGTCCTATAACCCGCATTGCATTCTGATGGCCTCACTTCATACTTTATCGTATAGAGTTTTGTCTTGTACCCTACTTAAGGCTTCATTGATTCAAATTCCAACTCTTCTCATCATTTGTAGAGTTCTGCTTGTATCTGGTCTGGTTGCAGCTGCGTTTGTTATTATAGATCTTACTGCCGGTTTATACATCAATCATGGGGAAATCGTTTCAACAATTTTTCTGAGCCTATTTTTTGTGTTTGTTCGTTATATCAATTTAGTTTACACCAGTAAACTACTTTTCTTTAACCTAAACCACTAGATGAACATTTGCAAAGTGTTATCCTACGTTATTAACTTCGGCTTTGTCATTGGAGAGTCACTATTTTAATGCGTAGATATACATGTATAGGCATATTTTTTCTTTTATTAAGGATCAACGATCAATTCCATGCACTAGTTCATAGGGTTTCACTAGATTTGGTCTTCTTGTTAAGCGATCGTTGTTCAAGAGCTGGATGGCCTCAACGTTGATGTGATTTTGTAGTCTTTGTTCATGATTTTTTGCTCAATTTTTGATTACATTGTCCACTGTTTGCACATTTAGGTCTTTATGGAGGTTGCCATTCCGGATGTATCATGGCGCACCTACGATGCCGCCTAGAACTTTATTTTGATAACGTTGTATAACATTTTTGTTGCCTTAGCTGGTACAACCCCAGAGTTGACTACCGAGTTGATTTTTTTTTATTTCTAAAATTAATTGGTGTTATTCTCTTTAAAATTAGTTTTTCATAAAGTTTTGACATAGTCGGTAAAAGTTATATGGTGGGGTGGCTTGCTACACTTAGGTACTATAATAACGTCAGCAACATTCTACAATTGGGGAACATATTTTAGTCGAAGTGATGCGTTGATCAGGTTAGTAAGTTTCACTAGCCCTTTCCTCGGTAGTTTCTTGAGGATCTGAGCAGTGATCAAGTCAAATCACGGAGCCTTCTTTGGATTTATGTTTTCTTTGATTTCTCTTTTTACCTCCGCTACTGTGGTTAATGGAATCTCTTCACTTTCTTTGGAGCCTATTTGAATAGATAATCGGAAACGATTAATGCCCTCTCAAGGCAACTGGCCAATTTCTTTTCCAATTAGACACAATAAAGTTTACTTTATAACTTATGGTGTAAACATTACATTGCTTTTTTCAAATTTCGATTTCTTTCGAATATATTTAGAAGTTAGCATTTTCCTACTTTTGAAACTTTGTAGAGTAACTAACCAACAATGCAAAATTCGATTGCTGTTGGAGCTACAGATTGAAAATGTAGATCAGTGACATAAATATTTCATTTCTGAAAGTTAAAAGTTTTGCAAATGCAAAAGTTTTTAAAATTTTGTAAAAAATCACGGGAAAGTTTTATTATGTATTTGATTCGATTTATCATTTAAACTGTTCTAAAAATATGAAAATGTACTTCGTTTGCTATTTTTCTAATGATACCAAATCGAAATATTCATGAAACTGATTTTTCTTAATTGGAAAAAATCATTACCCTATCAAGTTCAGGAACAAATTTCATGTTGATGATATAGAGTAAAACGTTATTAACAGTAACAGTAAGTCAGTCAACTTCGCCGTAAGCTAAATTGAATTACAGGTCGATTTTAGAAACGTCGGTTAGTAAACAAGTCCTAGCAAGTTTTGGGGCATTTTAATTTGTTCTTGCATTTTCGTGCCCATCTTTATCAATGCCATCGGCACAATTCAGAATTTTCGTTATTAGCAAATCACCCTGTGTGTGTTTTGGTAGTTAGGGTTCAGCATCAATAACTCTAATTCTACAACTTTTAGTAATTTAGTTGCAACTGTAAAGTTACAAACGAAAAATAAATTTGAACTTTTGCACTCATGAAGACATGACATTTTTCCGTTTAGATCAGAAAAATTGGATATCCTAAAAGTCTGCAAATTCTTTAATATATCGGAAAATACGTTTTAGATCGGAACTTAAGAAAACACGTATGTGATAATTTGGAAGAAGGTATCAAATGAGACCAAAAGGAATCATGCCACCCCACTTCCGATAGGGGACAGGGGCAATTTCAAAATATTAAATAGAAACTTCCCTTTATTTAAACACGAAACTTTTATATGAATTGTTTTCTTCTCATTTCTGTCATATTGTGCTGTAATTGACAATACTCCATTTTTTATCTTTTTATAATTATGGGCTTTAACTAAATGTGTCGCAGCTACTTTTTATATCATTCCATTCGTTGTTATTATAGTTGTTTACTTATATATCATTTGATAGGTTCTTCCACATTATAGGATGCGTGTTGTTATTTAATTCCGCACTAAAACAGATTTTTTGATATATTTAAGCGTTTTCATTCTTTTTCGACACCCTCTATATCATATGTTACATGTCCCAAAACAACTTCTGAGTCAAACATCGAAGGCACAATAATTATAATGCACATTAATGAAGATTATGCTTTATTAGCTAAACATAACTCTGCAATTATTGATACGAACAATAACTACTCAGCTGTAGTGATTAGTCGATTTTTAATAACATTAAATTGAAAAATACCAGTGCAATGAGGACTGTCATGCAATAAATATACAATAGGCATTAATTTACAATGCTGTTAATGCTGTGTAAAAATTGAACATATCGGTTTTATAGTCATAAATATCCTGCACCAGCAATGCTAAATACTGAGGGAATTAATCAATTGTTTAATTTAGAAAACAAAAGTGTTTGTTTGCGCGGTGCAATGGAAATGGATCAAATGATTAGAGGGATATTGTATGATGTCTGCAAAATGACCGAAAATTCGAACTTATTGTTGATCGAAATTCAGGGTTATTTGCATTTGATGTTATTCATTTCCTTTGTGGGTGTTTTGGAGCTTACAGCTAAACAGTGTGTTGTTTATAACAAAAAGTTTGATTTCTGCAAGAAAATTAAAGTTACAGTAAGTTTAATTTTTGCTAGTTTATTTGCACGTTAAACTATTGTCTTCTTACCTCATTGTTGGTTGCACTGATCTGTTTTTCATTTGGTGAATCATCAGGTTCCGGAACGAAAGTCGGGTTTTCAATTCCATTTGTCTGAAAACAAGAAACACCAAAAAATTAGAAGTATCTCCTTTTGCGACTATGTATTTAACTCTGCAAAAAGCGTAATTAACAATGACCGTGATTGCTTTAAAATAATGACCTGAAGGTCGCCTATAGCATAATATTAATAGTAACAAATTTTTATTTCCTTTCCAGTTAGCAGATTAAGTTCGTTCTATTTGCTGAAATGTTGTTCGTCAAGTTTGCCTTGATTTATCTGGGTGATCTAGTTTCATCGAGATTTGAGCTATAGCTTAATTAGTTTATAGGTGGATTTATAAATACCAAATTAAAAATGGGTTATAAGTAATATTATTGTGCCGTCTACGTTACGGGTTTATTAGCAACTTGCGTCAATGTTTAAATTTATCATTTCCAGAATATTATATCAAGATCGTGTGGTGTGTTCACTTTGCGAAACTTCATGCTAGATTCTGCTTTCAGAAAGCAATAATTTCGAAAGGTTTTTCCAAACAATTTAAAATAAATAATATGTGAGTTAATGTTTACAGATGAAATTTAATTATGCACAATGCCTCTGGGGTTTATAAAATAATCTCCTGATACATGAACACAATTAGTTTCAATTCGAAAGTGAGTAGGACTGTAGAATATAATCCTGCCTAATTTATAATCTCTAAATTGCGAATAAGTAAGAATGAATGGACATTTGAAATTAACCCAGACATTTTTTAATGTGGGCTTCAAAAAGTCGACTAATTCATAAAAATAATATCTCCCAGCTACAGTTTAATTCGCAGTTGTCAAATTTAATCTGTGATGATGAATCGATAAACTGTAGTGAACACATTCGAATTATCTAGTTGGTTATTAATTAGAACGTGTTTAATCAGAAGTTGACAATTGGTTTATAAATATCAGTTAGTAAGGGAGCTATAGAGTGTTAAACGTGCAACATTTTTTGTAGGCATTTCAAATTAATGTTGGTTTTCAATTTATCGGTTGTGAAATTGTTCCATTGCAAAATGAATTACTGAAAAATACTTCTATCTAAATCGTTCTAGGATAATCTTCAATATTTATCAGTTGCCACTAACTGAATCGGTTAAACTTATTTAATTTTTGGAATACTCAAAAGTTAGTTTTAAAAGAACTAAAAATCCAAAGACGGAAACAAAAAAGAGCCCACCGGCGTCCTCATTTGAACACCAAAATCTATCATTCACACTCAAGTCACGAAAAAGCTAACTAATTTCCCTCATTATACTGAACGAATATCTCTTTCAGGTATACTTACATGCAATACTTATATGCATGCAAGAATGTTGACTAATTGTTTTAAGCGTGTGTTCACAGATAAGGCGATTTAAGTGTGATTCTTTATGACGGGAATTGAGTAAAGTGAAATAAACCGAAAATTCCGGGCTAATAAATTAGGTAAGAAGTTACACGATTCCAATAGTAACAGTTGTAAAATAATAAAGAAGTTATCTTTGTTCCCACTATTACCAAAAAAGGAAAATCGTAAATTTTATTAACACGTGAACTATGAAATCCTCGTGTATTTATTCATTGAATAGCATACATTATAGGTTTGTTTATTTATATTTATGTGCAGGATTAGTTAAATGTATAGTGAAACTTTCCAAGTGCTCTACAGGTACAAGGCCTAAAATTCTAAGCCCAATTGTTTCAACAATTTGTTTTCAGTTTTATACGTTTAAGTGAGTTTAAGCCATAAAATAAATGAATCTTGCGGTATTCTAAATATCAATCTATAATAATTATATGTTGCAGATGCATTGCAATTGCAAGTCACATAAAATTACAAGGAATTTTATGAAATCAACTAAATTTATAGAGGGCCTTGAAATTAGTAATTACCAGTTAATAAACAATAATAAAAAATGATAAAGTGAGATTCCCACAAGGTTTTGCAGTATGTCCTAAAATAAAGATGTTCCAATTTTTCGAAATTCTTTGATGATTCTCCAATTTATTCTTTTCATAAATCAGCAAATATACATATATTACATGATATAGGTACCCATGAAAGGTTTGCACACCGACGAATGGTCGTACAAGTACAGGGTGTTTCTTAAATATATCGACAAACTTTTGAGAGTTGTAGGGAATGTGAAAATTTTTTTTTTTAAGTTTTCGACAAATGCCGTCTTTTTGAGATACAGGGTGATAAAGTTACAAAATATGTTGTTTTTGATCTAAAGAAATTATCTGTAGAACCGTTCGCTTTCGTTCGCGAAGAAAGAAAAATATTTATTACATTAATAAAATATTTGGCAAAAAACTTTAAAGCTTTGGCAGATAGGAAAGAAACGAAAGAGACCAGAACGTCTCTAAATTCAGAAATAAATTTACGAAAATGTCTTAGGCTTCAATGGCGCACTGCAAAAACTAAGGGGTAGTAAAAAGCCCTTGATCCGAAAACGTTTGTCACCTTGTATATTCTCTCAATCGTTTAACGTATTGAACGGTCTAGACTTCTGAGCGCATCATAGTATTCTAAATTTAAGCCTTTCCTAAATTAATGTCTTGAAAACTGTAAGAGCCCAAACGAAAGAATTTAAAAAATATAATTTTTTAATGAAGTTAAAATGCCTGTCTTAAGATCCGTCAGTAAAACTATGTCGATATATTTATAAAACACCCTGAATATCTGTGACTTAAGTGAAGTAACTTTTTCCCGTACTTAATTCTTTAATTTCAATACCAATGCGGGGTCAGATTACAAATTAATTTTGAGTGGCAATATACTTAAGAAATAGCTCATTTCTTTAAGAATGTTTTTCTCTATTCAACTAATTCTACTATTCGCATTTATTAAACATTCTTCTTCTTCAGGTGCCGTCTTCGTTGCGAAGGTTGGCAATCATCAATGCTATGCGTACTACCGAAACAGCAGATCTAAATTCCAATTTTCAAATATTTAAATGTTTAAGTTTTCGTAGAAATTTTGTGAACTCTTTATTAAGTTTCAATTATCAAAGTATCAAATTACTTAACTTCTAAGCTTTTAAAATAGAAAATCAAATGGCGAATTGTGATGAAAATTTTTATATCCATTTAGTGTTAATTTAATTGAAGCCAGCTTATGCTTTGTGATTTGATTTCCATGCGTTTACAAATTACCTTTCAACTTGGCTTATAGAGTCTCAAAGGCGATGAAGAGATATCAGAAGCAATTCGATTCAGCAAAATTTTAAAATATTTTTGAAGTCTTTGTCAGTTCACGTTAATAGTTGTGTGTAAGTGCGGATCACGTCTATCATAAAAATTCAAATTGGGTCGAATTTATATTAAATCAAAAGCAGCAAAATTTTTGGTTTCTATCGGTTATTTCGGAAACCGTAGCAGATACCTGAACACCGTTATGAGCCTTATGAGCTCCACGTTTGAGATAAGTATTAATTTAATTTGTTTATGACATTCAAGGCAACTGAAACTTGTGTTGAACACATCTTTATATGTTAGCTTCTTTATTACCGGAAATATTGGAAAAATGCAAATACATTTTTAATAGGTAATGGTTTTTAAAGCATTAGTCACGTAAAGGTCCGGAAATAATTAAATATTTTTTTTTCTTAAAATCACTCCCTAGCTATAGTGTTTCAAAGTAATTAACTTTAGATCTGAAGTAAGCTACTCGTATCTAGTTCGAACATACGAACTACTCACGTTCGCGAGTAATGGGCGGAATTAAAAGTAAGTTTAAACAAAAATTCAACAGACACAACAACTAATGAAAACAAGTAACAAATCACGATTTAGACAAATTAGAATAAACCACCAAACTGTCTATCATTCTCCTTTATGCAAAAACATGTCAACAATAAACAAACTGAAATTGAACTGCCAAGCAAGTGCAAACCAATAAATCATGGACAGGGCGAACAAGCACATGATTAAATAATTATGTTTATTCTGTACTTCGCTGTCTTTTTTTCAAAAAGGCCCACGAATTTAGTTTGCTATCGACTGTGGACGAAATCGGTCGATAATTTTTTGGGTCGTCTAAATCGCGTTCTTAGATGGGCGATATAGAATCATTGTGGCCTTTATGGAAAGTGTGGCATTAATGGCTAGAAAATGGAGGATGGGGCGCCCGCATCCAGAAAGCTGTAAGAATGATATCTAATCTATAAATGTTTTAGCTTGAGCCGGCAAGCAACTGAAGTTTTATGGATTCTTTATTTTCCTGGCTCTTTGCTTTGCTGATTTCAAATAAGTTCAGGTTTTGATAGAATTCCTGCTTTATAAACTCATTTTCTTCTTTCTTTCCAGGTGGCACTACGCAGCTTTCGGTAAGTTTAACATTACTTTGACCCTAGTTGCCATGTAGATGTAGTAGTTCTAGTTCCATATTCATCAACTGACTCGTATGGTGGATTTGTTGTCAAGTTTTAAACTTAAAGAATATTTTGGGCGGCTTCGTATTTTTATGTCAAGCTCATCTGAAGCTTTTCGCTAAAGAACCGCTTTAGATGTGGAAATTTGGGTTCCAGTATTCAATACAAGAATCATCAGCGTACTGATGGATTTGGTTCGATTAAACCCTCTCAAGAAATTTTAGAACTTTGGGAGCTTGCCTCCAAAGAACCGTTTCAGATTTGCAAATATGGGTTCCGGTTTTATGTTTTTTGTTTAAAAAAAGTCAAGAGTTTTAGTTTTGCCTGTTTTTTTTTAATAGCAAAATCGACTGAAACCTGATGAAGCCTCTTTTGATGTTGTTCAGGGACCATTTGAGCCACAGAGTTCGTTTTTCTATCCTTGAATAGAGAATTGGCACTTCGATCGAATGGTAACAACTGGTGTAAGTAAATTCTGCTGGATTTGCCACAAAAACTTACACGAAATTTGAATATCAGAGATTTACGTACGACTTTACGCCAAAATTTCATTAGAAAAAAACGTATTCTACAGAATATCAATCTTTCAAGTTTCTAGTGCAGTTGCAAAAAGCGTTTATTTTAAAATCAACATTGACGAAGCATACAAAATGCGGGATTTTATGTGATTTGAATTAATTTTTGTAGGTTCTAAGAAATTTTGACTACGTTTAGAACGCAATCTTCTTCACTGAACGCATTATTCTGAAGTTGCAGAGTATTTTTCGTGTCTCTGAAAGTATAATTAAGTATAATCTCTGAACGCATAATTCAAATAATATTTTCATCTTATGAGCATTCACTAAATTTGAGAGATTTCAATTGCTGACTGGTACTACGGTACTCATGCAGGGAATTGAATGAAAATATTGCCATGTAAATTTCCGGACAAATCTGTTATGGAAAGAACATGTTGCAGAGGCATGCAAATAGGTATGTGTAACTCACAGATACGTTATCAAATTTTTCTTAATCACCACAATTAAGGACATTCGAATCACCATGAAAACATGCATGTAACGCAACTGTATAAATGTACAAAGCAAACATCTTGTTAGACGCATCTTGCTGTTTGTAAAATATTGACGGTTATTGAAGAAAACATTTGCTGGAGACTGAAAAAGAAAAAAATCTGGTTTTATAGTCATAAAACCAGATTTACCAGGTGATGTTAGATTTTCACTTTCCATACGATTAGACTTTAAGGAAAAATTCTAAAGCAAAACTACTTTACTTACAATCCTAGGGAAGTTTCGCTAGACACTGTTATTGCCTTTTTGTTAATAAATGTACCCAAAATCCATCAATGTGGGACTAGTCAGAGTACAAAACGAGATCCCTATTAATGGCGTCAGTGTTGACTAGTCTGAGTCTAAGTACCTAATTATCGATTAGCCTTAATTTTATTAAAATTTGAATTAATTGATCAAAGCGTGAAGAGAAAAAAGAAAAGAGTGCAATGTTAAAATAGGAAAGGAACAAACGATGTTTCCATTTGTCATGAAACGAACGAAAACGGGCAAATGCGTGGCGAGAAAAATCTCGCATCAAAAAATGTTTAAAAATCAATAAAAATTGCACATGTTATACGTATTTTTCCATTTTAGTATCGATATTATAACGTATATAATCGAGTAGAAACCGGCTGATAATAATATTTTTAATAGAGGAAATGTGATATTTTGCAACGCAGGTCAATGTCAAACAAGTTCTGATTTTTTCCTTAATCTTGGCTGAAAATTTGCTTTTGTCTTACTTGATTTTAAAACAAAATATATTGAAACACGCTCGATAAAATGTACTTCAGTAATCCAGTAAAAAATATTTGCTAAAGCTTCAATTTAACTTGAAAGAGATTATCCATTAATAAAAATTAAAGCGTTAGATATACCAATGTAGTAAATCGAAATAACTCTTTTGTCTTTCAATATGAAATAGAATCGTGTATTTCATTTCCTCTTTCTGACTGAAGTCTGATTTTCAAAGGTGCTCAATCTTAGTCTGCTAAAGTATGATAATATGTATTTTCACGACAGCAAAGACCTAAATGATAATAATGTTTGCCAATTATGGGGTAAGGTTTTCAAATGTTTTTCTATCCCGAAAGGAAACTATCTTTTTCCTCAAGAACTAATTAATATTTTAACACTTTACAAATTATAGTTTTTGTACGACATCTTTTAATTGTAAATTGGTGTTTGTAGTTTGAATGAATTTTAAAATCTCATGATAGCGCTGTTGTCTCGCCGAAGCGTAACGAAACAAACGATATACAAAAAAAATAATTAACACTGTGGCTGGAGCCCATGAAAGAAAATAATATAATATATGAGAATATTTTAAGGCGCATCATTCGCATTAGGTTATAGAAACATTTCTAACGTTGTTTTCAGTTTTTCTGTTAAATTCCAAATATAACTGAAACTATAATAGTCAAAATAATTACTCACTTTACTCATTTTTCGAAATTGGTTTATCCTTGTCCGGCAGAAAAAATCATGTAGATAAATACGATAGATCACAATTTCGCACCTTCCATTCACAACAGTTGCGAACAATTCAAGCACCTGAAGCTTATGAATGTACGAGAAAAGTCTACCGACAGAAAGGGGGGACGATATCGTCTTGTCTATAATTTATTTGCAATTATTAATTACGCGAAAGCTCATGGTATGAACACTAATTAAAGTTTTAACAGGGATTATCATATCGGATTGGATTATGCTCGAGATACTTCGGCAATAAATTCAAGTTCAGTAATTTTAATCGATTTATTAGTTTTGTTGTTGGTAATATTCATCGGATCGTTTTCTTACTAATTGAGTTGTGCAAGAACGTTAATGTTATTTTTACTGTTTAAGTATAAAACATTAGGGCATGAGAAAAATACACGATTTCCTAGAAGTGTCTTATGATGTTATTAAAAGGTCTTGCGCTGATGCATTTTTAATACATTTTTCCATAAAATGAGTAAATTCACAGGAACCAATTGCGAAATAGAACAACTTAAATTTTCCGTAAATGTATCTATGTAAAAATTAATAAACAATCACAATTTTAGTGTAGCATTAAAAAACTGTTTTGGTTTTTCTTTTTTAAACATACGCTTTCCCAATTCCAATATGAATTGGAAAATTTTAGATTATGATTTTAACGGTAAATTTATATGCAAAACTTATTTCTTATACAGCAGTACTCTTGAGATTTAAACTCTACTTATTTTTGTTGTACCATATGTTGTATCATCTTTTTCTTTTTTCTGATATTTGTATGCGCTCTCACTTTAAAATCATTTATCATGTTGTCATGTACCAATGTTATTATTATCGATCCATTATTTTAAATTCATAATGATTGTACTTTTGTTATTTTCTATATAATTCTTGCAGGTTTTTTTTATTATCAACAACTAGGTGATTTGTGCATGTAGATCGAAATTCGTTTTTCATTTTATAATCCTTTATCGATATTTTCACAAGATACTTCTCATTTTATCGTATTTTTTCATCGCTTAAAGGTAGATATTTCCTATCATTTGGATATTTCCTTGTTCATTTTATTAGTTTTTTGCTTATCCACCTTTGCTCCTTAGGGATTGATGCCAATTTGAAATAACCCAGTAGGTACATACGTGGAGTGCTGTACAGAAACAGGAAAATAATGTATCATTTTCAAAACGTGGATATGGAAAAATAAGCATTTGCGGATGCACATTTATATGAGGAAAATTTAAATTTTCGACCTTAAATATGTAGGTAAAGCGTCGCACATGAATTTTTAAACGTTCTTGGTGTGGTTATTACTTGGCAGTTAATAACCACAAGATAACCTATCGAAACTTCATAAAATGCGGACGGTGTTATCTCCAGGCCTGTATGAATAGATTTCCTGTACGTTAATTAATGCTATTGATAATATTTCCTTAAATCTAAATGGGTTATTATGTTGGTAAATTTTATTGCCCCATATAAACCATATTATTAGTCAGCTTTGTTAAAATACTAGTTCTTTATCAAATAATAAATTATGAAATAACAGGGAAACCTTCATATTCCAGGTGTAAAACTCGCTTCTTACTACGGTACATACATATGAATATTATAGGCATATGAATGGAAATGCCTTAATTGTTTGTCATAGTATTTCGCGTAATTTTCCAGTTTTGTTGGTTTATTTATCGTGTTGCTCCAATAATTTTCTGGATCAATTATACCAAACATTTGATCGAAAACTTTATGATACAGAATTAGACAAGCATTTACGGATAAAACTTCTTTCTTGCCTCTAGACATAGTTCATCTTTACTTAAGATCTTTATCGGTTCCAATATATTCAAATCCATATTTTTAAGACACAAAAAAATTGTACAATGTTTATATTATTGATTGAATATTTGTATTCTGGGAATTTTAAGCTTACACTTTTAATAAATAATAAAAAACATATAATGATATTGCAATAATAGTATTTCAGATCAGAAAGTTATATAATATAAGCAGTTGAATGATATAACGTTAACAAATTAAAAACATAAAATTCGTTGCTTTTAAATGGTTCTTTCAAATTTATAAACTGTATTTTGTTATGTACGTGCACAATTTCAAGATTTGTTACATTTTTATATCCACCATGACTCTTGTGTTTCAAACTTTTGTACTTCCAATTCAAATAAACAAATAAACCAAGATAAAAATAAATTTTCTTTCAATAAGGTTTCAAATTCAAATATACATACAGGGTGATTTTGAAGTGCGGGAGAGTCCATTATTTCGGTTGGTGTTGAACTTTCGAAAAATAGTTTCATATAAAAGTTGTGGACACACAAAGTGCGCACATTTTAAAAATATTTTACATGATACAGAGGGTCTGAGAAAAGCGACACAAGATCAAAGTGTATTTTTTTAAATAGAGCTACCCATTTTTCATTGGATCATGGAATGCCGCTTGAAACGCTGCATATGCACCGTAAACTGTTTTTTTGTTATTTGCTACGCTGGCAGATTATCGCCATTTGAGTAAAATTTTTCTAAAAAGCATGATATCTAACAATTAATTGCAGAAGCAAAAAAAAGCAGTTAAAGATACAAAAAAATATACGTCTTTCCAGCTGTGAAATCAACCGTTTTCAAATTATAATTTATTTTTTCTAAAAACTCCAAAAAGTAACAACTTTTTGTAAGGTGGCTAGGGAGCAATAAATAAATAAGTGTCAAAAAGTGTTCAACTTTTATCTGATATTGGGTTAAAAACCGAAACGCGTTATATAAGTCACATAGCTCTTGCGTTTTTATTTCAACTGAAACACAATAATTTCATGTTTAAATTCCAACGTTTTGTGAATATTTTAAATAAAGTAACCATGAACTAACTGTGTAGTTAAATTTCTTATAATTTCCGAAGTGTCTGATATTTCGTGTTATTGTGCTTATTATTTATTCTTATGACTTTATCAGATTAATTAATTATTTTGTTTGCTTTATTTCTTATTCGATTTTGAATTAACGATGGAAAGTAAACGTATACAGTTTTGTTTATTGGACACTACGATTACATATTTCAAAGGCAAGTTTGCAATTAGTTCCGGGTATTTGGTGTCGAATAATTTTATACTTTGGGTTACGAACTTTTTGTGGTGCTCCAAATTCTTACAAATAATAATAATCACAGTTGGCGCGCGAGTATTTTCTAATATTACTAAGTAAATTATAGTAGATATAAAATGCACATGCGTATCAAGTGCAGCCTATCCATACGGTTTTGAAGATACATCCTTTTTTATCTTTATTTATTGTTGCAGATCAGTTCCATCTTTGTTAGATCAGTTTATGGGTTTGTCTAAATACAACTAGACCTTCATAAAACATTATCGTTTAAAAACAATTATTTAGTTTTAATACACGCATCATAAAAATTGGTAAACTTGACAATATAATTGAAGGAAAGTGTCTGAAATGGGTAATTCCGAGCGGTTTTACAGCTTTTATGATCTACACTCAGATAAATTTAAGGATGCTAGGACTTACTCAATGTTAATCCTTGTCAATGAACTATTTCCATTATTATAAATGAAAGCGAGTCTTATATTAATTTTGGTAGATTTTTTTTACAAATATAGTAACTTTTTTTGTATTTTACTACTGAGTAAGTATGAGGTTTTAGTTAATAACATTTTTTAATTATTCAATCCTTGGAGAAATCAGGTTAAACCAAAGAGAATAAGTTGGGTAAATAATGATTAAGCTCAATAACAACATGGCGAAATTTTTTTTAGTCCGGCAAAAAACCTTCACGATTAAATATAGGTCATCGAAAAAAAAGTGTAGCAATTAATTGCACGTGAGAGTATGCAGAACAATTACACTTTAATTGCAATTTGCCACAGTTGCATTGAATTATATAAATTCGATTTCCCATTGCTTCTCTTCCGATAAAAATATTAATTAAAACGTGCTGAGAGAATGATGATTGTTCTAATACTGGCAATGACTTTGGGATTTAGTTAATGTTTTTATAATGACACATTCGTAATTAATACGTTTTAAATTCGTTTTTATTTGGCTTAAGTTGCATATTATCACGCTGCTCAAAAAAGGCTTTGTTTCACAGAACATATGTAGTCTAGAAGAAATTGGAATATACTATATTTCTGTTTGTGTTTCTATTTAGAAAGATGTTTACACCGGGTTTACAAAAATATATTTATCGGCACTTAGTACTGAAAAACAATTATATGCAGTACACTTATATGTAGCTCAATACCAGATATATGTGCTGTGCACAGTTTAATTATGACTCCATAATCCAAAGTAGATTAAAATTTACCGGAAAAACGTGTAAGCCGCAGGTTCATACTAAATTGTTTTATTCGGAAAAGATGTGCTTCTTTATGTGATATCAGCAAATATGTATTTCACGTCTATCTTTTTGTATCTAGTAAAAAGCGAAATTTAAAGTAAAAACGAATTCATTCTTAAATCACGAATCGAAAGTTTTGCGTATTGTATCTCCTTTTGATGTCAGCAAACTCCTAACTGATTTAATTTGGTCTTGTTCTGGGTCGAAATATTGTATGTATTCCTCCTGTATCGTGTGTATCATATTCTTCTTCCACTAGGTAATTTCTGCTTCACGCCTCCATATTTCTATTTTGTCAGTTAAATTGTTTCCGTGTTTCCATTAAAACACGTAATATAGTTTAGTATTGTCAGAAAGCGTTTTCCGATTAAATATCAATTTATTATTAGTAAACTCATATTTGGCTTATAGTTCGCCTTTAATTCGAATTGGTTGGTCCGGGGCAAATGTTTTGTACTACATCTCCTTTTGTTCGAAGTCAGTTTGGATCTTTCACAGAAACCACTATCGTATTAATAAGTTAATTTGAGATAATTTTAAAATTTCGTTCAATTAGTGGTATTATTTAAATAGGTTTTTCTCTTCACTGGTTAGTACGCGTACTATTTGGAGCTAAAATTTTCTTCTCAATTTACTTCGAAAACGTTTTAAATCACAAAATTGTAGGTGCTTTTCTTCTATTTATTGGTTCTATGTTTTGGTTGGAAGGTAAAACATTGCCTCTTCTTTGCTGCATTGACGATCACTTGGAGTATTGCGGCAAAATATTTGTATTTTTTATTTTCATACACATTTACGGCATAAATGGAATGTGTTGTTTGGTTAATACACCGGTTTGAAATAAAATTTCTTGTTCTATGCGTTTTTCGTTATTATTATTTGATCACTCCACATCAAAAGCTGACAATTCTTGATTTACCTCGATCGATTTACCTCGATCGTTTTTTCCTGTTCTTTTCTTAATTGACGTATTATTCTAGTACTGTATTTTTCTTGACCGTACTTAAGCCCTAAGAATTGCTTGTTCAGCTTCAAAAATCCCCTCTTAGTGAAATCGATTGGGCCTGCTATTCCAACTTTGCATTAAGTAACCCTATACTTTTATATAATGTAGTTCATAATGACTTTTGCATTACATTTGAGTTCAGTTTTTCGAAAAATGCATATGCAGTACCCTCTCTAAATACTAATTCGACTGAAGATATAGGATTCTTTCTGTTACAAATGTGCGTCGTAAATATTGAAATGTCGACTTACGCGGTGAGAAAGATATAAAAAATACTTGTTATAGTTAAGAAAAGTTTAGGGTTTAGACCATTTTTAAGGTGAAAAATTTAAGTATGCATAACAATGCCTTTGTTTGCATGTAGTTTGATTTTACTGTTTTAGTTATTGATTTAATATTCTTTTACGTAAACAGAGCAAAAGGTTTTTCTTGAGTTTAAAAAAATTACATTTGCGGTTTCCCAGATTTTTACTTTAATTAATTTTTTTTCCGAGATTTTTAATAATGTTTCTCCTTTAATTTTTAGTATTTCGGAACGGCGATTTAATAGGCAAACTTATTAGGTCCAATCAAGCGAGACTTTCTTTGCAATTACTCCTCCGTTTCAAAACTTATAAGCATTATTATAAAAAATCTTGATTACCATTTTGGCTTAGTTTGGATTCGGTTTACATTAACAATTAGCATATTATACACAATAAAACCTTTCTGGGTTGTAGGATATGCAGTTAGACTATTGTCCAGTAATTTCTTGGTGACCTCTGTGAACTATTTGTTATCTCAAAATTAAGTATAATATATATTTACGATTAATTCAACGGTTGTGTTATATTGTAACGCAAGCTAGTAGTTAAACCGAACATTATCAGTTGATCCCTGTTGTGTTTGATGGATTCTCTAATTAACGGATTAACGTATATACATGCAAGTCATTTAAACAGTCTACTAAGATGAAGTGTATCTGATCATGTGTCTATATTTTACTAAATTAGATAAAAGTCGAGCTAAACCTGTGGTTCGTTTATCAACATTTAAACCTATCTATACAATGAACTTGATAACTCCACTTTGCAAGTTGCAAATCATGTTCACTTCTTTATTCATCATTTAAATGTAGTTTAATTGAAGATTCGAATGCAATTTCTGTTATATTGTCTTTTTCTGGGTAAATTAGTTTTTTGTTCATTAAAATTAAACACTTCCATCTGAAGCAAATAATACAGACTGTTTTTCTACGTAATATAATTTATTTCCATATTAATAAATAAGGTAACTAGGATTTAACAATTAAATATACATTTAAATGAACTTCAGTTAGTTCGGGTTATTTGCCAATTAGAACACAAATCTTGTCGCGAGTTTTTCCTCTCAATTTTAGCACTCTATCAGCATTCCTAAGGATTTTGAATTCTTTCCACTTTTGATGTAGCTTTGGATCTTTTGGTCCCCAGTGAGTGTGCCTAAACATTGACTGGATAGCCTACAAAGAAAGTTTTAATATTTAACGATTATCAGATCATAGAATTTTCAAATTTTAATTCAAAAAACTGCAAAATTTTGGAATGAGAAAGTAAGTTCTCATTATACGCTGTACATTTTTCGAATGCAAGTCTACAGACTGATTCGTTTTCACATTAAAATACACCTTGCGGCTTTTTTGGGCTTTTTGTTAAAGTTTTGGCGACTATAGCAATATCGTAATAATCTACTTGTTTATAGAGTTGGGCAATCTAATTAATAATAATTTTAGACTTTCACCTCTTGCCGAATCCCACTTTTATGTACGCGTATTTGCGAAACTGTAAGTTAAAAGCTTTGAAATTTTTGTGGTTTGTGTAGCGTACAAAGCGTTAATATATTACCAACAAAATAATTAACAAAAATGTAGTTGAGAGACAGAACTTGATGCTAAACCGCTTACCTGTTTGCTGTTTTCATATGTTTTTCTTTTTCTGAAAAAGTCGATGGCAAACCAAAGTATGGGTTGGAAAATGCCAAATGCTAGTAGAGCCCAACCCCATACTGAAATGAAAAAATAGATTGGTAAGTATAAAGTTGCACTAGACGGAGTACCTATGAACTTTTGCAGTTCGATAGGAAAACAGTTTTTAACAGGCGATAAGAAAACGTATTTTTATAAAGGAGAAAGAAGAAAGAATGCTTTGCTTTAAGATAATTTAAGCATGAAAACACCTACTTCTTTTACTTAAAAGATCATTTTGTTACTGTTTCTTATTTGAAGGTCTGCGGCAAATTTTCTCAACAATATTACCCTTTGTACATTTTTTGACCAATGTTTCTAATTAAATTGGTATATGCTATAGATCAAAGAAGCTGGAGTCAACTGTTGGACTTCAAACCTGGACATTCTGAAAAATTTCGATTGTAAAGTAAGAATTTTTAGTCAGAATGCGTTTTATCCCCATAAAGATCTGTGAAAAAGTTTTTTCATTCGTTTGTAGCCTTCATTTTTAAATGTAGTTTAGGACATCTTTTACATCATATCAAATGTGTTATGAATATTTATATTTTCGTTTGAATTCAAATCTTTCATTTTATCAAAAATATCATCTTTAGCGAATAGAACAGTTTTATAATATTTTCAGATTGGAGGGAGAAGAATGGTTGCTGGTATTCCTGTGTAAAAGCTAAACAAAACAGTTATCCACCACATTTAATAAAAATCTGGAGAAGTCTGTTTGAGAACAAGTTTCTACTGAATTTAAACGCATTTACCTGATATTTTCACTGGAAAGTCTTTACTTTCGTATTTCAAGGGCTCAAATGTGACTAAAAAGTAGACTAATACACATATTAACACTAAGGGAATTACAAGGCACCAGCAAACTCTCCAGTAGATACCAGGCTTCCTTTTCGTCATAAATTCGATATCCTGACATACATTTTCAAGGCCTGAAATTAAAATGGTAATAGTTTAATCAAAGGAAACGATTAATTAAAATCTGTCGTTGATAAAAATCTTTTCTATAAGTAGTTATTTATATATTGTTTATTCACTTGTTTGGTGCATGTCGCAATACTTACCATACCACCAGAAGATTGCAACAACTTCAACAATATTCATAATATAAAATATGAAAGTTCCACCGAAAAAGTCTACCATTGAAAATATCCATTGGCCACCCTAAAAACCAAAAGCTCTGAACTGAAAACATTTGGGTCAAATTTATCTAAAATAAGGACAATTTTATATAGTTTGGAAACGGTTTTAACTAGCTTACTAACGTAAAGTCCATATTGATGAAGCTGTCTCAAAGAGAATTTTTGTGTATAAACTACAGGACATTATCCTTTGCAAACATGTACAATTCGCCAAGAGAACTACCTCTAAGTAGCAGAGAACAATAGTGTACTTTTTATGAACGGCATCTCAGAAGACTTATTCTTGAAAACGGCAAGCCATTATAAAGGATAAACTTGGTACTATTCAAACTAATTTCAATGTGATAGACATAAACCTAATGAAAAGGGATATATCGATACTGCAAAAAACTATTCTGGAGCACGCATTTGCTGTGGCCTCAAGCCAATTGAACTCAAATATATCATAGTACAAGCTTCTCGATAAAATCGTTTGGCATAGATGATGAGAAGCTAAAGAAAACTGGATTTCTGAATAAAACAAGTTCATGAAAGATATCACACATTGAATATCCACGAAAAAGTAATATAAATTACAGGCTTGCACAAGAAGCGACAGAGATTTGGCCTTGGACTAGCCAATCTTTTGAAGAATAAGGGGTAATATGAAGAGCGCCCATTTAAAAGCTTATTTTCGTTAACAAAAACCTTGATAGCCACTCATAAATAAGTTAGTACTATTTTATATGATAAGAATTGCTGATCTTTGGCTTTTGAAAACAGTCGCGAGTTTATAATAAAAATCTTTGAAACTCAGTTTTTTGAACCAACGTAATAGAAGTTTGTAGACTTTGAAACACAATATTTAATGCTAACGTCCATGCCGCCTGGAATATCCAGCTTTTAATAGTCAGTCATATTCCAACACATAAAATATCTGTTGGTAGCATAACAATTAACCTTTTGTGAAAGTTTCGGACCGCATCTTTATTCCGCATGATTGAGGCTCGCACAGCAATAATCTGAATCTGAATCTGGTCTGAATTCCATTGCAAAACCGTTTAATAAATTAATTGTTTTAGTAACTTTGCAGTTGTGAATAGTATAAATAGGTTAATTTCAATTTCATTCTGCCGGCGGCTTTATAACTGTGTAGCTTTTTAAAGTGTGTCAAAAAACGCAAATTAACTAATTTAGCCAATAAATTTTTGAATACCATAGACAGATTATGAATCACTATTGGTCTATGGAAATAACAGCATATTTTTAAATTCCAAAGATTTTTAAATGTACACTTTTGTTGTACTAGTGCTATTTCTAACACATGAACTTTCATATAATTAAAATAAAATTAAGTCTTATTAATAAAATAATATGTATATTGTAATAATAATAAATTTTGTCAAATTTAGTCATCATTTCAATATTTTTTTTATTTTTGCGGATGTAATGGTAATTATCAAAATATACAAAAATTCTTTGCACATGTATAAATTCTTTTGGATATATGGAATAAATATGGTTTTTCTTAAAATAAAACTTATAAATAAAGTTTTTTTGGTGATATTTGCAATTAAAGTGATATAAACTGCCACCAAATCCGAGCCAAACGGTAATCTGAACAGCGGCATTGCTTAAAGTTTTTCTTGTTGTTAGTACATAATTAATAACAATTCATTGGGTAAAAGTGTTGCAAAAAAGAGTAAATCTTCGATTTGTTCAAGAGCGGAAGTTTGTGATCCAATGTTTAGGTTTAGTAAGACTTTATCTTGCTTATATTGGTATATGTTCTGCCCTCTATGTTTTACCCATTTTTTACCCCTTATGGAGCTTTAAAGTGTAAACCGAAAATTCCAGACTTTCACGTGTGTCGGGGTTGGATTAGTCAGGCAATCGTCCATTGTTCGGCGAAGAGGAAATCATCATATACGTTTTAAATCGCCAATTAATGCAATATTTTTAATTTCAATTTTAACGATTTACTATTACCCACTTGTAAAATTATTAGCCTGTTATGAAGTGATGGTGGGGAAAATGTAAGCGATTTCAACCCTGAAAAAAGTCGTAAAAGAAAAGACGTTAAGGCAACGAATTAGAGATATAGCAGCCATCAATTTTATCGAAGGCAACGTGAATTTTTTGAAGCAACTACATATTAAATTGACTGTAAATGTTTTAATAGCTAAGCTTGATACATTGAAACGACATTGCCAAAAATGGGTGACTTACAGGTGTTACGTAGACTAGACCAATGACGAATCCGCCAACTGCTGTACCTAAAGACACATGCCATATTTTTAGTTTTGGAAATGCATCCATCACCACTGTAAATGCGCATCCTTGCAGAGCTGCTAAGCTGCCTACTCCTAGCACGAACAGCATCAGAAAGAATAGAATTGCAAAAAGCTAAAAATTATTTCCTTAATTTGTTATCAACATTAAGTTTTGAATGGTTTCAATTTTAAATGTCTAGTTCTGGGAATCAGGAATATGCAAAGGGTTCATATCGTGAAGTTTGTGGAACGTTTGTGGTTCGTTTTCTACGAATTGATGAACAACAAACGTAAATTATCAACATTTTGATTAGCATCGGAGGTCAATATTCTTATTAAATATTTAAATTGGTGACGCTTTAATTTCTTTTTGCTGTAATTAGCCACTGAAACTTATAAATATTGTTTTTGATGTTAGAAGTAGATCCACTTTAGCATTTATCTCAGGTAAAAATCTTTTGCCTTACCCATGGTACGGCTTCAAATTTTGCTAGCGCTTCAGGATACGAAATGAATGCAAGACCAGTTCCACCAGATTTTACCACCTCAGATACTTCCACCCCCATTTTAGATGCCAAGTTTCCCAATATTCCAAAAATTATAGTTCCCGCTAGTAACGAAGTTAGGGTGTCTAGCGTCGTAATAACCATTGCAACCCTAATATTGAAAAGAATCAAGATATTAATGTATAATAATAAAACAATCAGTTAAATCAATTTAGTCCTTAAGATCTATCAGCACGTGCATCATAAGTACATACGGGGTGTTAATTTGAAAACTTCCCACCTTTAATACCTTTCATGCAGTTGAAAATATGAAAAATCGGAAAGACCCGTCAATTTTATTTTTATATATCATTTAAGGCGGGCAGTTTAAATTAATGTTTTTAGCCTTTTTGTTCCAACCCCCTGTGTCAGTCTTAGAATCTTAAATGGGAAGGCAGCCAAGTGGCACATGGTTTTAAAGGGCGTTCAATTATCTTTAGATTAGCTACTACTTTGTTGCTTTTTGTTCAGAGGTTTCCGAGTAATCGCGTTTCAAAGTTCTAGAAACAATTAAACTTTCGTGCATACAGATATTGATTTTCAGGTTAGTATTTACACAAAAATAATTGCATTGGGTCTCCTTATAATACAAATGATTAGAAGAGTAGGCACAGGTAACAGTTGCACTGTTAAAATCGTTGAATAACAGGAATGAAACATAGTTTAAACATTGACTTCTTATTTTTGATCTTATTTCTTATTTATTGATTATTTTACACCTACAAAAATAACTTTTTATTCGCCGAGGAGAAATTTCTACAATAAAACCTGTGTCATCTACTTACACACTACACCTAACTATAAGTTGTTCAAGTGTTGTCAATTTCCCTGTAAACAATAATAAGATCTGATTTTTAACTTTTCCTTAATATTTCGGAAAACTATACCGGTAATTGACTGACATTCTGCTCCAATTCGCCTTTTAAGAGGTTGTGTTTTGTAAACAATGAACTTAAGATGTCCCCAAAGAAAGAAGTCTAAGGGTGCTCAATCCGGTGATCTTAGAGGCCGTTCAGTTGGTCTCCTTCTGCCAATCGATCTATTCTTATCTGTGAATATCTTATCAATGTGAGGGAGGGTTCGAGAATAGACTTTATTATTGTTCGCAGGAAAATATGCAACATTTTGAACAACTTATAAGATAGTGCGTAAGTAGATCCTAGGGGTTTTATTGTAGAAATTTCTCAGAAAAATAAGAAGAAGATAATCAATAAATCAATCCGAAATCAATGGTTTAAACTAGATTTTCGTCCTGTTATTCAACGATTTTAACGGTATAATCGAATCTTCTAATCATATGTACTATAAGGAGACACAATGACATAATTTTTGTTTAAACACTAATCTGAAAACCAAAATCGCAATCCAAGAAAGTTTAATTGTTTTTGTAATTTTGAAGCGCGATTATTCGAAAACCTCTGAACAAAAAGCAACAAAGTAGTAACGAATGTAAAGATAATTAAACGCCCTTTGAAACGATGTGCCACTTGACGCCCCTTCCCATTTAAGATTCTCAGGGTGACATCTATCCATGTTAGAGGGTTGAAACAAGGAGGCTAAAAATATTAATTTAAAGTGTCCCCCTCACAAATAAAATTTACCGGTCTTTCCGATTTTTCATATTTTCAACTGCAAGAAAGATATTAAAKGTGGGACATTTTCAAATTGAMACCCGGTATATTCATTGAATATTTTTGGCGCTGTCGGACCTTACTAGATTCACACGTTTTGAAAGATACAGTCTGCTGTCTACCAGTTCTACCAGTGATCACGCTTATTTAACGATAAAACTCACAATTTTAAAGCCGTAATCAATAAACACATTTTTTCGTCTTAGTGCCATAAGATTCTTCTACTTATTGATCGTATTTAATATAGAGTTTTTAAACAGCCCATTGGGCGAATTTCCCACATTCCAGCCTTTGAAGTATTTTATGATAATATGTCCGTTTGAAGTGTGCAATTATCGAAAAATTACAGCGGTAATTGCACAGTGTGCAATTATCACTCAACGATAATTGCATTGTTTACAAAAAATATTTGACAGATGTCTTTTCATGTTGAATTAGACCTCAAATGTCTTCCTGACATACCTAAGATATTGAAATTAAATTTAATAAATATAAGTAATAAAATTTAAAGGGTAATAAAATATAATAGAAATAAAATGAATCCACATTTAGTTTGCTTACCAGGATATATTCATCAAAATTACACTCGTGCATCAAAATAAATAGATAATTTTGCATTCGAGCTTGTTGTATGGTAAAAACTGTATTCGTTTATTTTCACATTGGAACAAAAAAGCCCTCCTCCTTTGGAGTCTGGCTTTTTCGCCACAATATGAAAATAAGCTCATGCAGTTTTTAGACAACAAGCTTTCATGCTAAATTATCGGTAATTTTGAAGCACTTGTGCAATTACCCCCGATAATTATTTTATGTTTATATGTTTGTGTGAACTTTAAACGTTTTTGACGTTTCCTGGGTTTTGTTAGATGAAGATTATTTGGTTTTCTATCTACCGCATCGACAATAACGTGTTAAGATAATTTAACGATTGAGAAAGTCCTTTGCAGCAGCATTTCCTACTTTCTACTGTAATTCCCTTCATCTTCATTTTTTATTTTTAGAAATCAATTTTTCCATGTTGTTTTACTAATGATCTTTTTTTGTGATAAATGATTCTGTAGTAAATTACGCTCGCGTTAGCAAATTAATTAGATGGGCACATATATGCTCCTCAATATTGTTTTAATGCATTTTCACTGTATGATATTCAGACTACGTTTGGCTGAATTGCTTGCTTGTGTATTGTCACAATAAAAATATGGCCTTTAAGGGTATTTTCAGAACTTTTTAGGTAATAATATTTTCATCTTTACCTCATTTCGATGAAACCATTTCACAACTTTCCTCTTGCAATTTTCTGAGGAAATATCCGTGTCTTCTTATTTGAAGAACAATTTAAAATATCTCGAGTGTTTCAAATGATTTGAATTTTTGCAATAATCTTACTGTTTATTTGATGCTTTCATTTACTGTTCTCCATATTCTTTTGACCGTGTTTGTTGCTCTACTATGTACAGAATATTTCTAATTTTGCTTTTCTCTACTGAATTTATTTCATCAGCATATTTCGAAACGCAAACCTGTTGTTTTTTGAAAAATCTTCAAAATTTATGGTGAGCTATGTAGTAAGCAGTAGTAAAAATGTCTCATAAGTTTACACACATTGCTTCATATTTCAGAATACGATTTTGATCTTGTCAAATAATTAACCAAAAAAAAAACTTTAAAACGTTATAGGCGGTACTTAATATAACTTTAGCCGATTTCAACACCTTTAATTTGTCTTAAGAACAGTTGTAATAATATGAAACTCAAAGATTGTGTGACAGTTATACACACGTTTTTCCTATATGAATCTGTGATCAGTTGAGAATCATGTTTTTCATTTAGATTTGATACTGATGTTTAAAACCTAAACACTTCCAGTTAACTTGCTAGATTTGTTAATAAATCAATAACAAAATAAGTTTATTACGTTCTTCTTTACATATCTTGAAATTGGTGTTTGTCTATCAGCAGAATTAAGCCTTAATGTACTGTTGCGTTTATACAAGGCATACATATAATTCACGCTGAATTATATTATTGCATTTAGTTTTTGTACATTTTTTAAATATCTATAAGAAAAAAGGTTCAGAGCAACGGCAACAGTAATCTTTAAATAAGTGTCGCAATGAAATTCGAACATGACTTTTTAATTTGCGCGCTGTTTATTTGGTTAAATATTCTTAGTCATAAGTTGATTTTAGAGTTTTGCGGAATACATGTGTTAATATATAAATAATTTGTAAATATAATAAATCTATTCAGTTGAGACATAAAGTTATTTGTTCGCTGATGCATTGAATTTGCTTTAAGAAATAAATACTTTTTCTGAAAATATTTATAGCGTTTGTTAAGCAAATTAGATTAGAAGTTAACATTTGATATGCCACGGTCATGATTACTAATTAACAGTTGAATAGAATTATATGTTTATATTAATTTATGCACTTAAAAAATACTTACTTGTAAACATTATGTCTAAATCCATTGTAAGAAGCATACATAGATACAGATCCGAAGCCAATATTTAGTGAAAAGAAACATTGGGTTACTGCGTTGTACCAAACCTAAAAAGTATAATTAATTGAGTTGAAATGAACATTTAACAACACATTTGGGAAATATCTACGTCATAGGAGTATTCTACTGTAGTCTGAACATAAAATATCAGCCTAATGTTTGAGAAGACCTGTTAATGAGCAATGTTTTATTCCAATTTGTAGCGCGA